AGTATCAATAAAAAATAAACAAACCAAAACCCAGTAAATGACCAACAGAATTTGTAGACCTGTAGTCTCTGAGCCCTGAATGTTTATGTAAAAACAAATTCCACAAAGTTCACATATAAGGAAGTCTATTTTTTGTTCACAAAACTTAACCATAACTGTAAGACAGTCACAGATATTAGGCAGGCAATTATTAAAATGTATTCAAAGTTTATTCCTAAAATTTCTGACAATCATCCTGATCATAACCATGCAATGTCCCACTCCTCTCAACAACTGAATTAAATCAAATGTGCAGCTAAATATAGTAAACTCTTAATAAACCTTAGCACGGATAACCTGCTGGCAGATAAGCCGCACCACGGATATTAGTCCAGGCTACACTTGGCTAAATCCAACTGTATTGTTTCCAAGACCTGTGTAAGTGCAGGAGCAGAATGACAGCTATCACACAGTGAGAAGAGACTGAACAAACATGTGCAACCAGACCTTAGCTGCTTCTGTTCAGGGTCAGTTCAGGTCTCTGACAATGAAAAGCACAGGAGGGACCACTGAAGCAGACTAGGACATATTCCACTCAAATCCATACAGAATTATCTCTTTGGGCTCGGTACAGGTTCTGATTACAGTGACAGCAGCCACCATCACCAAGCCAAGAACAAGGCATCTGTGTACTCTCCAGTGTACCAAAAAGGTTAAGAGCAACAAAATGCCATTTCCACTTGGCGCTTCACATGAACTCTTTAGTCCTTCCAGATCCAGACACACTAGCAACTTGGTGCAGAACCATCTGGATTAGTTTCCAATGCTAAGTGGAATGTTTCCACAACACTGTCTAGAAACCACATGGCTAGTACAGTCATTACTATCTAAGATAACTGAACTTCCCATATCCCACTCCACCTCCAATAACCCGAATAGCCAAGAATTAACTATGGCTGTAAAAACAGTTAATGCCTCAAAAATGTAAATTATCCATGTCTTCTGTTTTCAGAGCAAAGGTGGAAAACAGGAAAACAGTACACACAATTTTAAGAACATTCTTCAGGCAAAAGCCTTGCTAAAATCAATACTTCTGTTTAAATTTCAGGATCTGTCCTAGTTTTGAGCTAGTGTGACTATTCAGGCTAGTGAAAACGTTCTCTAATTAATGAGAAAAATTTGTACCAAAAAATGGTGACCCATAATTACATTAGTAATCTATGTTAGGGAACATTAAACCATGCTGCAATCACTTTGCATTCTACAGATTCCATGGCATCATGTACAGTAGATTCTGTACAGTACATGATTGTACAGTACAATTGCTTCTCTAAAATTTCACATTCAGGTCTGGTATGGATTATGTATCATTTGGAAGCTATATGGAGAAGGGGAAAGGGAATGGTCACTTAGTTTTGTGTACAAGTCAGCCTGGGCTCCTTCATCCCAAAAAGGAGACAAAAGAAGAGTATGACAGAAGTCTATAAAGCCAGAAGAGGTACT